TCAGCTGAGAAGAGACATCGACCTTCTTTCCGTCCTCAAACCAGAAAGTCGGGTACGTGCAGGAGTCATTGTATTCGTTGCCGATGTCAAAGTCGAGGTATCTTCTGGATGTCTTCCACTGAACCTTGTGCTCCGAAGTTGAGAACGGAGTGGACGTGTTGAGGTATCCTTCGAAGCCGATCAAATCACCCATGCTAGAGGCGGTGAGTAACAGAAAAGAGGCCGACGTGAGCCATCGGATACTTACGTTGCCATAGTCTGGTCCATGACCACATACATCCCTCTCTTGTGAATCTCATCAATGGCTTCTTGCCACGCCGTGATGTTGCCATAGTGCTTGTCGAGGAGAGTGAGATCGAGGGGCTGCGAAATGTCAGTATTCGCATCACTGCCGTGGATCGTGTGCTCTTAGGCGATTAGCGTACCGAGTATGAATCCGCCTTCCATGGGTCGTTTATGAAGGGTGAGCCAGCAATGTAGAGTGCCTTGATCCCCATGCCCTGAATGTAATCCAACGTATCGACGAGGCCAGCCAAATCTCCTCCATGACGGAGCTGGTTACTCATGATATCATGCTCGAAGAGTGTGCCGTTGGCATTGTCGTTATCGGGGTCGCCATTTACGAATCGATCGATGAATAACGTGTAGTAGGGAAACCGCCAGTTGGGGGGCGATGCTGTGAAGGTGTGGCCATCTCTCTTTCCTGAGTATTCGGCAGGACTCTTTGCTAATCTGTTGGTGTTGAGGTTGTAATCGACTTCGCTCGCGGTGTATTTGAGGCCGGAAACGAGGGTTGATGATGTGGTAAGGAGTGTAAGTGCCCAAGCCAATACTGAATTAGACATTTTGTGTGAACTCTTACTCGCCGGGAGGGGCGAGTGAGCAAAAGATTGTACAAGCAAAAAAAAGACAAACAGGAATGAGTGACGAAGTGAAGCTCGAAGGAGTGTGGTGGTGATGGGATGGGGGGAGGAGAGAAAGGCCGCGAAGCAGACCAGCAAGCAAGCAAGAACGAATGACGGGATGGGTTGCAAGGCAAAGCGCGGGACGGATGGGAAGAAAACTCGGCCGTCAACGCCACGCTGGTACCGGTAGAAAAGGGGGTAATCTCGTAGGAGCTTGGGTCAGTCCAATTGCAATATGCCCCAGGCTGAAGGCGGAAAGGGGGATCACTGGCAAAGGCACAGGCAAAGGCACAAGAAGCACAGGCACAGGAATTGAGGGAACAGGCACATGGTACAATAGCAGAGTGGCTGGGGGGGCCACCGTAAAAGAGTCCATGGAAAGGATCTTTCCGTCCGCCTCGCCTCTCAAGGCTCCAGTCTGGCACTGTCAGGTCTGCGAGTCTTGGTCTTGGGTCTTGGTTCTTGGGTCTTTGGGGCGAGAGTGGGATGGGGATGGGGAAGGGGATGCAGGCGAGCAGGCCGCAGGGCCGCAGGGCATCGATTCCGTGATGGGCGGATGGGGCTTCCTTCTGCAGGAACGGGCCAGCCGAATCGTTAGCCCTTCCTCTTGGAACCAGGACCTCTCTGTGCCTCTTCTCCAGTTTCCACTGTCCAGACTCCAGAGAGTGAGTCTGTAGGCCGTGGGTAGGGAGTATATGCGCAGTAAAGAAAAGGCAAAGAAAGGTACCTGTGCCTGCTCCTCTTGTTCGTCAGACCCCTCTTTCTTGGTACATGACAATGTGGCTCCGGGGGTGTAGTGGTCAGGGCTAATTCTGGCTATACGAAGTTTGGAATATGGATATGCAGAGGGTGCAGGCAAGTGCCTGGGTGGGAGCGAACCATGAGTGCGATGGGAGATTGGCGGGCTCCGTCTTGAATTACCATTTTGGACCATGTCCACAAAAGAGACTGTCCAATACGGTGGCCCCGAGGTCAGCGGCGAACAGGGGCGAGGATGTCATTCTGGCCAGTGTGCGCGTAGCGTGTTGAAGACCAAGGATAAGCCGGCACGGTCTGGTGCATCTTGTTGGTCAGTTCGGGCGAGCTCCGTCGTCGGTCCAAGTATCCGCTGTCAAGTAGGGCCCCTGGCTCCAAGGACGTGCTCTCCTGTATCGAGTCAGTTTTGCTTCGGGCGGTACCCCCAGGAAGAATACGAGACGTTGGAGACGAACCAGGCTGTCAGGACGGGTGATCCATGCTGTCGAAGATTATCCAGAAAACAGTGATTTCCCAGTCGGGAACAGTTGGAGACTTGAGGCTCAAGGGGCCGGACCCGTTCAAAGGCGGTGGGCAACGGGAGGTGCGAGGTGCGAGGTGCGGCGTGCCTGGCCTGGCCTGGCCTGGCAGGCAGGCTGAGGGTGGGCGTTGTGGCCGCGTCGTTGGCAGATGGAAATCGGAGGGGTTCATCTCAACTAGCATAAACCGTTTATGCTCAGAGGGCGATGGTGTGGCACCCCGTCCGTACTGGCTACTGCTAGCTCGACCGGCTATTGCTACTTCCTATCCAACAAGTCACCAAGTCTTTCAGGACTAAAGGTGCTGTAGTGTATTCCATGGTGTTTCCGTACTGTGTAGTAAGGTGCCTTAGTGCGGCGTAGACTTGGGCCAAGCCAGGAACAGGAACACGTCGGGCGCGTCTGTCTGATCGTGATCGTGACGTCGACTCGTGGGGAAGCTAACGCAGGAGGAAGCGACAAGTCTGCCATGGCGGCATGGAAGGATTTGAGAAGGAAGATCGAGAAAAGCAAATCAAAATTGATCTTGTCCTGCCTAGACCTCGCGCATTAGCATCCGGGTCGCTAGCAGTGCTAAGAAATGCGCTTTCGAGGCGTGACTGCAGCTTACCTAATGTCGCACAAGAAGTGATTAAGTAGGTACTTTGGTGGATGCAACAGCGCCGAAGAAAAGGAACGACACTGAGCAAAGAGTGGTCCCAGCCCTGGGGAACTGCACATGGAGCTTGGAAGTATTTTCCCCGAGTGACACCGTGTGACAGATTGGAATGCGGGAGAAAGAGAATGTCGAATGTCTGATGTCTGCCGAATCCTACTGGGGAGAAAGTCTGAGGCCAGGCAGTCAGTCTGAACTTCGAAAGGATGGACAGCGGCCATTGCAATCATTGCAGTGAAAATTGCAGTGGAAACGACACATCAGCCACGGGAGATCCACTTGGCGGCGTCTTGGCCAATCCTTGGCTTCAAATCAATTGACATCAGCCACGCTCAAGACAGAGTGTGGCTTCCTTCCCTCAAGCCCTGCCGGTCCTGCTGTCCTTAACTCTGGGCAGTCTACGAGTTCCTTTGTGAGTTTGAGAATTCCTTTGGTCGCCTGCCACCTGCCACGCCGGCAGAGAGTACGTCTCAAGAAACTCCACTAAGTACCTTACTGCGTTACCAGCTCTTTCCTTGTCCAGCTATTTTGTACTCGTGTACGTACCTACACAGTGCTGCGGTGGAAGCAGGGTACCTGAACTTCTCAAGGACTTGACCCACTTGGGCAGGAGGAGGTAGCCTCGAATAGGACGGCTGGGACCGGGGTACTAGGGCCAGGGGTCGGTCGGAGGAGCACCTGCGCTTGCTGCCGACCGGGGCCGGGCCCCCTTGCACGAGTCCACGACTCCTACCGCGGTGCAGCACTTGCCCGCGACGATCGGCCGTATCGCACAGAGCGGTCGGTGCAATCAAGCGAGTCAGAGGAGAGAAGCCCTCTTGGTTCTTTGTACTGGCGTGTCTGGGCATCTTCTGGGCGCGACGTGATGGGAAGGACTGATGCCGTGGTTCGCTACTGCCAGTCGCTAGAATCAGGATGGATCTTGGGAAGGAGGGGAACACTGCAAGAAAAAGGGCAAGAACGAATGAGTTGATGGATAAAGATTGAGGAAGAAGACGAGTCTGGCGGGGAAAGCGGTAAGGGGCGATGTTCGCCTAAACCAGAAGCCACGCCGAGCTGAGAGCCAAGGGCCCAAGGACACGCGAACTCCTTTTCTTTTGGTGGCGTTGGCTCTTTCTTCGCCTCACTGCCCTGTCCTGCCCTACGTCTCATCGTGACAAGAAACACGACCGGTTGATGATGGTATCTGGGGAGTCCCATGCCTTCCAGCTATATTTCCAAGTTCCGGTTTCCAGGAGTTGACGAGAAACTCGATTCAGGGCTCAGTCAGCCTTCATGAGGCCTATCAAGCGGAAGCCGTCTGAGAAGCTGCGCATTGCATGGCGAGGGGCTGCCTCAAAAGACTTTATAGAGTTTAAGTGAGTTCCCCAGTCAATTCAGTATTCCCCTCTTCTTGTCCTCCCTTCCCCCCTCTCCCCTGGAGAAGCAAGAATCCATGGAGTTGGGATGTTTGTGGGACAGGACGGTGGGAGTTGCGTCCAATTCGGGACTGATTTCCTCCAGTCGTCCAATTATTTCTGATTATCTAAGCAGGTAGCGAAAGTAATGGCGCCCACACTTGGCACTCGCACCAACCACAGGTCAGCAACACACAGACTCCTTTTTTTCCCCTTTGCCAAATTGACCACGGGCTTCTTATCATCTGTCAACAAAATAAAACGCCCGCGTCCACCTGCAGGACACGCTATGCACTCCGACTGCCAGATAGGCTGTCACTGGTCAGGCAGGGAGGGAAAAGGACTGGCAGAATTTGCTCTCGCACTCTTGATCGAATTTCGGCTGCCACTGGTTGAAATGTGAGTGTTCGATTGCAAGCCAACCAGGCCCCGAAGCCATCAAATGTCGTCTCATCAAGACTCTCGAGTCTGGACAGGAGTCTTGGTAAGAGAAGCTGCGGCGTAGACAAGCAAACACCAAGCAACGCGGGCCAATAACCAGACAACAAGCCTCCCGTTGTCCAGCGCCGCTGCCAAGAAGGCACCAAGAACATGTCTGCCACGCTGTGCCCTCTCAGGTCCATCTGTCTTCAGAATAGTACACAGTAAACACCAAGTTGGCTCGTCAAGAGAGGGCGAATCTCGGTCGTTTACAGCGCCGTCGCGTCGCCACGTCTTTGCATCAGCGTCGCCTGCGCCAACCGTCAACCCGTCAACAAGACAAAGCACGCTATCGACGCTGTTCATCAGTGCTCACGCTGCTCAGTGTGCCAGGCTGACAGTGCCATTCGAGTCTTGGTGCCATCAGTTCATGTCCAACGCGACCAATTGTCACTGCCGACGTGACGTCCCATGTCGTGGTACCACCACACTCTTTTGGGATAAGCTCGCAATCCCATTCCAAAAAGTTCCCACGGCTTTCCAAGGCCGCACCGTTGGCGGCGTTGGCGGCGCTGCCCTGGCGTTTCTTGGCAGGGGAAACGAGGTTTTCCAAGCAGCCAAAGGAGCCAAAGCCAGATACGTAACTTTTGGGATTGGTTGCTGTCCAAAATAACACAGGCTTGACAGGTTCGACCTTGTACCAATTCCTTCCCTCATCTCTCGCCGAGTCTCTCGTCTTTCTTCGTACCTTCACAGTATGAACACTCCAATTGCTCCTTCTCATTGGTCAAGCAGCCACACATTCATCACAGCACCGTCCATCTTGCTGCGCCGTTGGCGGCAGTTTCCCACCACCTTTTCACCCTTTTCACCACACCACTCCACTTTGACCACACACCATCTTGACCAACGACACCACCATTAATTAATCCTTTCCGCCTATTGTCACATCTAGGCCTGCATCATCGATCAAGAGCCTTTCCATAGTCGTGCCTAGCTACGGCTACCTATATCCTGGCTTGCCTCACTCAGCACACAACTTCTGCTACCCTCGCCTTCATTATCCGTACATATCGCCGTTTGGTTGCTGAGTACGCAACTCTTTACCAATCCTACCTACCTCTCCATCTGCATCTTGGACGGCTTTCCGCTTCCTCATGTCGCTTCTGCAGTCTCCTGCTCCCTCTCTCTCCCCTTCAAACACAAGACTCTGGTTCCCTCACCCTACGCTCGGGTTTCCTTTCCGTCAGTGTCACTATCCCCTTCTAGCGCGGTCGCCTCCACACCCCCCGGCTTGGCCGCCGTATCGACCATCGTATCCCCCGTGGTCTCTCGCTCTCTCTCAGTCTCTCTCTCTCTTTTCCTCTGCTTGGGTTCAATTTCCCGTCGACCAGCTGTTGGTCATGGTTATTGACACACTTGCGCCCCTCGTGTGGGCCTCGTCGTCCCATTCGATCCGAGGCATTGACATTTGCGGCCAAGTACGGCAAAGTTGCCAGGAACCGTCATTTCCTCCAAGCCATTTCCAAGCCCATCCGTCCCTCGGCCTGTTGTTCCGTGACCCTCTTGTCTTTGTCTGCTTCTCCGCGCTGTCTGTGTTTCTGGTACCTTGCATTGGTTCATCCGCAGTCCCGAACCCTCTGCCCAGTGCCGTCAGAAGGTACGGAGTACGGAACATTATTGAGTACACTACCCGTACTACGGAGGAGTATGTGCGAATATAGATACACATCCAACACTTATGACTGCTAAGAGTTTGCCTAGTATACCGTAGACTGTCCCTAGTCACCTAGTCCACCACACTTTCTCGGTTTTTTTTTCCCTCTGCTGATCGACCCTCGTGTTCACAGCGTGAGTCTCGTTTTGACGCGCTTGGCCCCTCTTCTTTCACTGTCAACCGATCAACCGACTCCACGTCCTACTCTAGTCACTCGTCTAATCTACCCGGGCTTCCCACCCCTTTTTTTCACTTGCAAGCTCCCAGAGCCAGTCACTCGCTGCCACTCCATTCTCCATTGAAGGGTTCCCCGTCCATTCGTTCATCGGTCCTGTCCCTCTTACATCCCAAAGGTCTATATCGTTGTGTGTGCGCCGCAAATCCTCTCCGACCCTATCCATTCCTTTCATCACGCTCGCACCCAAGCGCAAAACCAATCGTTAATTCAACGCCCATACGCGGCGCAGTCGTTCGTTCAAACAGACATCATCAGTCAAAATCATCACCATGCGTACCTCAACACTTGCGTGGGCCGCCGTCACGGCCCTCTCTGCCCTCGTCGAGGCTGCCGACCTCGAGGCGTGGAAGTCTAGATCCATCTACCAAGTCATGATCGATCGTTACGCCCATACCGATGGCTCAACCGACCACGAGTGTGAACTCTACAAGTTCTGTGGTGGCACATGGGCCGGCTTGACCAACAAGCTTGACTACATCCAAAGTGAGTATATTGCTGTAGACGAATGCATCACGGGCTCTAGCCCAGAGACCCTGGGCCTTATAACTGACCATGACCACCAGACATGGGCTTCACTGCTATCCAGATCAGCCCCATTGTCAAGAACATGGACGATGACACCGCCGTCGGTGAGGCTTACCACGGTTACTGGTCTCTCGATAACTACGCCCTCAACGACAAGTTTGGTACCTCGGACGACTTCAAGAACCTGGTCAAGGAGATGCACAACCGTGACATGTACCTCATGGTCGATGTCGTCGTCAACAACATGGTCCAGAAGCTCGACAGCCTGCCCCCTAAGCTCGACTACTCGAAGTTCAACCCCTTCAACGAGGAGTCCGACTTCCACCCTTACTGCAACGTCACCGAGTGGGACAACAGCACCAACTACCAGGACTGCTGGCTCTACCCCTACGGCGTTGCCCTCGCCGATTTAGCCACCGAGAAGACCACCGTCGTCGATGAGTTTGGCAAGTGGATCAAGCAACTCGTCTCCAACTACTCTATCGATGGTCTCCGTATCGATGCCGCCAAGCACGTCAACGATGCCTTCCTGCCTACCTTTGTCAACGCCTCCGGCGTCTTCGCCTTCGGTGAGGTCCTGACCGGAGCCCCCGCCGACTTCTGCCGCTACCAGACCCTGAACCTGCTGCCCGGCATGCCCAACTACATCGAGTACTACCCCCTCAACAAGGTCTTCTTCGGTGGTGACATGAACGAGCTCGCCGACTGGCGCTCCCAGGCCCGCGATGGCTGCACCGACATCTTCGCCCTCGGATCTTTCGTCGAGAACCACGACATGCCCCGTTTCGCCGTCTACGATGAGGATATTGAGCTTGCCAAGAACGCCATGGCTTACATCCTTTTGACTGACGGTATCCCCACCGTCTACCAGGGACAGGAGCAGCACTTCAACGGTAACTCGACTCCCTTCAACCGTGAGCCCCTCTGGCAATCCAAGTACGACACCACCGCGCCCATCTACCAGCTCACCTCTACCCTCCTCAAGACCCGTAACGCCCTCCAGGCCACGAACAAGGACTTCGCCACCACGGCCTCTGAGCAGCTTTTCGTCGAGAACACTCACCTGTGCCTCCGCAAGGGCCCCGCGGGCGCCCAGGTCGTCTTCTGCGTCACCAACAAGAGCTCCAAGGGCGACACCTACCAGCTCAGCGTCGGCGGCTTCAACCCTGGTGATGCGGTCGTCGAGGTCACCACCTGCGGCACCAGCACCGCCGACGGCACCGGCAACGTCACTCTGTACATGGAGAAGGGTCAGCCCCGCGCCGTCGTTCTTGCGTCCTCCATCGACGCCACCAAGATCTGCCCCAACGGCACCACTGCCGCTGGTCAGAGCAAGAGCGCCGCCGGCTTCATCGGCAGCAGCATGACCCTGGTCCTGGCTTCCGTCATGGCCGTTTCTTTTGCGCTCCTCGCATAAGCAACCATCATTGGTTATGAAATGTGAGACATTGAAAAAGGGCAAAAATCAGAAGAGAAGAAGAAAAAAAGGGCGCGACTCGAACGGGTGTACTGCAAGCCAGACACATGTTTTCTTCACATCGTCGAGTCTTTTTTTCGCAAGCAAGCGGAGTTTGGATAATTCAATGGCGGCTATCATGACGCAGACTATCATCTCTTATCAGTGTAATTATCCTCCCCCACCCCGGGCCGCATGTTCCAAACGAAGCTCTCACGTGGTCTGGTGAGTAATGCTATGCTATACCATCCTTTTACAATGTATCTTGTTTTTATTTTTCTTGCATTTATTCATAGTGATACCAGACCAATCTTTTCGGAAATAAATTAGTCATAATATCAACTGTGAGCTTCTGTGAGAATTGGTACTCCGTACACAAAACAAAGAAGTGCGACGGCTCCAAAACCATCTATGAGATCATTGAACATGCTGGTTACCCGCCGGGTAGCACATCCCGCCGGCGAAACTTCACGATGGCGGCGGATAGCCGGGGGGTTCCATTCTCTCTGCCCAAGGCTGTTCCAAATCGAGACAACGCAGACGCGCTACGGAGTGAACTCCCTCTCTCTCTCCCCATAATATTCGCCCGCCGGGTGCTGGCTGCACATCACTTGTCCAAGTGGCCGGTATTAAACGGAGGCCGAAAACAGCCGAGTCCATAGTATCGTGCCATTCAGAATGGGAATAAAACTGCATGAACGGTGAAGAAGCAATGCCCCTTCCACAAACAATCCCCCGTTTTTTGTTTATTTATTTTTTTTCTGCCCTTCTGGGCTCTGATTAATTTGTCCCCCTTCTTTCCTTCTCCTCGGCGTCCTCCGTAGATTAATCGCGGCCAAGCTTTTCTTTCCCTAGGTTCCATTACTTATCCATCGATCCTAGGTAACCCGGCATCTGCACAGCCACCACGTGAGTTGACAAAAACTGGATAACGATGGCTTATCGGATATTCTAAGACTATCCTTAAGTGTAAAACGTGGAGCAACAACCCTCCCAAGGTACGTTACCCGATTGTTGTGCCGAGTTTCCCCTGTGTCTCCAGTGAAAAAGAGAGACAAAGGATCCTTCGACGAGTTGGGATTTTTTACAATGGAGACGGTGACATGGTGAGTGACAGACAATAGGGGCTGGTGGAGGGTGGGTGGTAGAACGGGGGGAAGGGGGGGCGCTGCATCGATCTATCGGTCGAGTCGGACGAGTCGGAGTCCCACCGTCTAGACGGTACCTTGCACTAAGAGATTCAGCGCGCGAAGAGAGAGAGGACTCGAAAGAAAAAACAATAGGTAACGGACCGAACCCCGTTTTTAGCCCCCAGCTAGGTACTCAGAAGCCAAAGACAGAGTTGTACCTGACCTTAGTGCTTAGTTTATGGAGAGCGGGTATAGGAGGTGGGTGGGTGTGTGTGCCATTGGGGTCTTTTTATGCAACGTTTAGTTCCAATTTATGGGGACCGAGTATTCCGTATTAGAAGTTGAGCGCGCACACGGTGTGCCCAGTGACCACCGTGTGCCACACTCTGTTTTTTTCCATTTTTCGCCCGCCGTTCGATACGAAGGGATCGGCCGTTAGAGGTGTGGACCTTGGGCCTTGGACACCGAAAGGGCAAACCAGGGGGGAGGCAGAGGGGGAACAAAGGAAAACCGTTGGTTGGCTGGCGAAACATGGTTCGCTGAGAGAAACGGGATTCATCCATACATAGTACAAAGAAGGGCAGTCCATCCGTACCGGGAACTTTTTTTGGACTACGTGACTACCAATAGGGTCAATTATCTGGACGATTCGATCGATTGACAGTTTTGACAGTGTATGGTAGAGAATATAGGAAAGGATACGGATTCTGCTACTGCCCAGAGACGGAGGCGAAAAGAGGGGACAACTTGGCAGGCTGAAAAGCCCGTGGTCAAATGGTAAGGTAGAGTGTGAAGGGTTGTAGATCAGGGGGTGGGATGGGCTCTGCGCGGGCTGCGCGGACGACGCGCGCTGTGCGTTCGGGACGCGAGGCGGCGAACAGAGAGGGAGATAAGACATGCATAAGATAAAGGCACACATTCTGCACCGCAGAGTCTAGGTAGAAATCCTGCTTGCTCGCCTTTTATGCAGCTGTTCCTACTGCTGCAGCTCTGAGACCTTGGGTTTTTTGTGTATGCAAATGCAAATGCCCAAGAACAAGCGCCCGCCACTGGAAGCGATGTGATGAGATTTGATCCCCTACCACTAAAGCAAGGCAAGATAATGACGGGTGATCACTGACCACTGACCACTGACCACTGGGCGGACTGCCAGGCTGGGACGTCTGTATGTCTTAGACTTCTCTGTGTGTGTTTCATTCTTTTTCTCTCCTTTCTTTCTGTCTGCGTGAGAGAATACTCGGATGCCTGCTTGTCTGACTGGTTGATGTGATCACCACTGCAAAGGCCCTCGGCAGATGAGTGTCTCTGGGACTCGGGGGAGATGGGGGCCGGATATTGAGAGCGGCATGCGGGTGTTCCCAATAGGCTTGGCGCTTGCAATCACGGCGTGACGGAAAGACATGACGGTTCAGCGAATGACAGTCTCCTTTTCTCGTCTCCCTTACTTCTAGACTTGCCTTTCCTTTCTGTTTTCTTGAGAGACATGTGTGTGTAAGTGTGTGTGTGTGTGTCTACACAAGCTGAACTGTGAGCCAACAAAGTTGTGTACCGCGTGATAGATGATGTTCCTTTAGATACCTTATGGTGAGCGGGGAGGGGACAACGTTTTCCTGTTTGCTCTGGCCTCGCCCGCCTTTCCAACTTCGTTCGCCGGGAAG